CACTAAATACAAACTGTACAAAAAGAGTACATATTTGAGACAATATAAATAAAATGAAAATAACAAATAACTTTATTGGATATAAGTGCTAAAAAAATCGAAAAATAAAGAATGGAACACTAGTGAACTAATAAAATCTAAATGATATAACCTTTATAAGGAAATATTCTGATGTCTCAGATAGCACAAATGACAAACTGCACACGTCTGTGCAGAGTGGAAAAACGAAAAGGAGAGGTGATAAACGTGTGTCCGATGCTGGGTTGCTAATATCAGTGTCCTGATCTAAAGAGAGCAGTAATAATCCTAGCCGTACACAGCAAGGCTAGTATAAAGCAATTGCTGATGGATGTACTGCAATATCTCGTACTGCTACAAAAGTAACAACATTGCTAAATGTACTGTGAGCATAGATGTTGCCAACTGAGTACAGTTATCAAATGAAAGATTCTAGCAGCTGTTAAAAAGCTCGATGGTACTTAGTAGCGTACGTTAAGTGACAGTAAAGATACATAGAAGTACAAACGAAGAGTCTAATAGTCCCTAAAGTTCCTGTTAGAATGTTAGAAATGACACTAAATGGAGAACATTATATCACATACGGAAAATAAAGAGAGAGTAAATGAGAGGAAGACTACAATAGTAAGTACCGTCCTAACTGCAATTCTACAAAAGTTATTTATCTCATCTCCTGCAGTTGTAAAGTACAATATATTGGAAAAACATATCAACAGTTCCGGAGGAGAATTCTTCAACATATATGTTCCATTTCCAATGTTAATATTTCTACCCCTCTATCAAACCACGTTAGGGCTCATCACAATGGAGATCCCACTAACTTAATTTTTCAAGCTATTGAAAAACTGACATTGAATTCCCAAAAAGGAAATTACAACAGAATGTTGTTAATAAAGGAATCCAGATGGATCTACCATTTTAAGACTCTCTTTCCTAATGGTCTTAATGAGGAGTTCAATTTTACTCTGTTTATTCATAAATGATTGCATTTCACTTTAAATGTACTATACCTTTTGTACTTCTCATATTGCCTCTGGATATAACAATATAACAATTTTGCCTCTATACACTTTCTTTAACAAAACCAATCAATGTTTTTTCATGGTGTTCATTTGTATTTATATATATATTTTTTTATTTATGCATTTATTTTAATAAACCTTTAGTTTGGTTCACATTATTACATATATCATATCTGCTAGCTCTTATTATAATGTATGCAGTGCACACACAGCTTTTCCTGTGCTGACAGTGGGTTATTGCTATCCCATATATGTTACTGTATGTGCTATATGGATGTGATCTTTGTTCTAGTTCTCTTTTATTTTATTTTCCGTTTAAATATATGTTGGGCTCATGCTGCCACTTTGTATGTTATCATAGTATTAACTTTTATTATTTTTGCATTTCTAACATCTTTCCGTTTTTCATTTAACCCTGGATTAAATGCTCGGGGGTTAATGTGTGTTCGGCAAACACAGCCGTAGATACACTCCTCCCATTGAGTGACATCATCTCCCGACCATCCAATCATGATATTTTGTTTCTGGCCAATCAGCTCTTTAGCTCTTATTTTTAAATGCTTCAGTTGGCGGCACTCAGCTCCCCTCTGACGAGCTTTGGCGAAACGCGCGCGTCAGGGGACTCTGGCGCTATTGTATCGCCCCTCACTTACCATATTTTTCTATATTTTTTATATCTTCTTTCTGCTGTCTCATTTAGGAGAGCTTTTGGGGGGGTTAGTCCTGGTGCCCACGAAGGCACATGGGGAGTTTGTAGCTTTCAGTCCTAGGACGGTACTTACTATTGTAGTCTTCCTCTCATTTACTCTCTCTTTATTTTCCATATGTGATATCATGTTCTCCATTTAGTGTCATTTCTAACATTCTAACAGGAACTTTAGGGACTATTAGACTCTTCGTTTGTACTTCTATGTATCTTTACTGTCACTTAACGTACGCTACTAAGTACCATCGAGCTTTTTAACAGCTGCTAGAATCTTTCATTTGATAACTGTACTCAGTTGGCAACATCTATGCTCACAGTACATTTAGCAATGTTGTTACTTTTGTAGCAGTACGAGATATTGCAGTACATCCATCAGCAATTGCTTTATACTAGCCTTGCTGTGTACGGCTAGGATTATTACTGCTCTCTTTAGATCAGGACACTGATATTAGCAACCCAGCATCGGACACACGTTTATCACCTCTCCTTTTCGTTTTTCCACTCTGCACAGACGTGTGCAGTTTGTCATTTGTGCTATCTGAGACATCAGAATATTTCCTTATAAAGGTTATATCATTTAGATTTTATTAGTTCACTAGTGTTCCATTCTTTATTTTTCGATTTTTTAGCACTTATATCCAATAAAGTTATTTGTTATTTTCATTTTATTTATATTGTCTCAAATATGTACTCTTTTTGTACAGTTTGTATTTAGTGATAGCTTTTTGCTCCATAGGCACTCTTTCCACCTTTCCTCCATATTTATTTCTATTAGGGGTTACCCCCCTGTCTAGAGTGTTCCTAGGCTGTATTTCTATTTCTCTGTTGACTTTACAATGTGACCCAATATAAATTCTATGAAATCAAAATATACTTAACTAACTAATAATAATCATCATCCTCTGAATACTATGACAATTACATGGACATAACATATAGGATCCATAGAAGTCTTATTTTTATGAAATCAATTCTAATGTTGTTACTCAATAGTAGAAATCAAGATAATTATAGAAATGTAGAGGTGAGTCAATAGTGGACAGCTTCCACTTTAAAACCTATAGACATAACATTGTAAAAACTTGTGACTATTCCTTATCTCAATGACAATTGCCTGTCTGACTTAGAATCTAGTCCCATTACATTTAATGTTTGATTAATGGGCTAACAAGTTACCACAAATAATTTTCCAAATAATTCACTATGTAACTCTTAATAGACATTTGGTCAGAAATCACTATTCTCAATATGAATCATCCTCTTTAATAGAAGTACTCTTTATTTCCTTAATCAATATGTACTCGGCTTCACAATTGATAACTCTATTCAAATGAGAGCACCAACACTACACTTGTACCAAATACTGATATATCTTATCTCACAAATATAAAAGTCTTCTTTTAGTTTTGAGCTCAGTAAAGTATCTCTAGGGTAAAACTATCAACTACCATTAGGAACGCCCCCTCTCACTACTGGCCATCAGGACAACAAGCCTGGCCAATCATTCATGAGTTTTGGATTCAAATACCGATACTTACCTGTCTGTTGAGCAACTCTGGCAAACGGTGCGTCAGGGTCTCAGGACGCCTGGATGCTCAGTACTCGTGTCCATATCGCTACTTTAAAATAACAGCGGGAGGTTTCAGTTTTAGAGCAGGCTTTGCTTTAGGTGGTTCCCACAAAGGCACATTAGATTCTTACCTATATAGGATCTAGTCAGGGGCGGACTGAGAGCCTTTGGGGCCCCCGGGCAAAATTAGATCCCAGGCCCTTTGAAGGCCAAATATACGTGCATTAAATAAATGTTAAATATAACTCATAATACGGCATTCCTTTGGATGTGTATATTGTGAAGACCCGTGTATCAATGCATGTTTGTATTTGAGTCTGTGTGAATGCACTTGTGCATGTCTGGATGACTACATGTGCTTTTTTGTATATAGTGTCTGTGTGAATGCATATGTGACAGGTGACAGAGTGTATGAGGGAGAAGGTGACAGGTGGAAGAGTGAGGGGGTACCTGGTGGCAGAGTGAGGGAAGGAGGGGTTGAGTGGTGGCAGAGTGAGGGGAGACACAGTGAGTGGGGGTGACTGGTGACAGAGTGAGGGAGTGGGTGACTAGTGACAGAGTGGGGGAGGGAGGGAAGAGATGACTAGTGGCAAAGTGAGGGAGGGAGTGACTAGTGACAGAGGGAGGGAATCACTAGTGACAGAGGGAGGGAGTGACTAGTGACAGAGGGAGGGAGTGACTAGTGACAGAGGGAGGGAGTGACTAGTGACAGAGGGAGGGAATCACTAGTGACAGAGGGAGGGAGTGACTAGTGACAGAGGGAGGGAGTGACTAGTGACAGAGGGAGGGAGGGGGTGACTGTCACTAGTCACCCCATTCCTCTCTCTGTCACTAGTCACTCCCTCCCTAACTCTGTCACTGTGTCACCCCCTCCCTCAGTCACCCCCTCCCTCAGTCACTGTGTCACCCCCTCCCTCAGTCACTGTGTCACCCCCTCCCTCAGTCACTAGTCACCCCCTCTGTCCCTAGTCACCCCCTCTGTCCCTAGTCACCCCCTTCCTCACTCTGTCACTAGTCATCCCATCCCTAACTCTGTCACTAGTCACTCCCTCCATAACTCTGTCACTGTGAAGGAAGGAAGGGGTGACTGGTGACAGAGTGAGGGGATGACTGGTGACAGAGTGAGAGAAGGAAGGGATGACTGATGACATAGTGAAGGAATGACTGGTGACAGTGAGAGAGGGGGTGACTAGTGACAGAGTGAGGAAGGGAGTGACAGAGTGAGGAAGGGGGTGACAGAGTGAGGAAGGGGGTGACAGAGTGAGGAAGGGGGTGACAGTGACAGAGTGAAGGAGGTGGTGACTGTCACTAGTCACCCCATCCCTCACTCGGTCACCAGTCATCCCCTCCCTCACTCGGTCACTAGTCACCCCCTCCCTCACTCGGTCACCAGTCATCCCCTCCCTCACTCGGTCACCAGTCATCCCCTCCCTCTGTCATCTGTCACGCCCTCACTTTGTCACTAGTCACCCCCTCACTCTAGTGACAGAGTGAGGGAGGGTGGGACTAGTGACAGTAAGGAAGGGGATGACTAGTGACAGAGTGAGAGAGGGGGTGACTAGTGACAGAGTGAGAGAGGGGGTGGGTGACTAGTGACAGAGTGAGGGAGGGGGTGACAATGACAGAGTGAGGGAGGGGGTGACAATGACAGAGTGAGGGAGGGGGTGACAATGACAGAGTGAGGGGGTGACAATGACAGAGTGAGGGAGGGGGTGACACAATGACAGAGTGAGGGAGGGGGTGACACAATGACAGAGTGAAGGAGGTGGTGACTGTCACTAGTCACCTCATCCCTCCCTCTGTCACTAATCACAACCTCCCTCACTCTGTCACTAGTCACCCCCTCCCTCTCTCTGTCACTAGTCACCCTCTCCCTCTCTCTGTCACTAGTCACCCCCTCCCTCTCTCTGTCACTAGTTACCCCCTCCCCCTCTCTGTCACTAGTCACACCGTCCCTCACTCTGTCACTAGAGTGAGGGGGTGACAGGTGACAGAGTGAGGGAAGGGGATGACTGGTGACAGAGTGAGGGAGGTGGTGACTGTCACCACCTCCCTCACTTTGTCCCTAGTCACTCCTCCCTCTGTCACTAGTCAACCCCTCCCTCACTAGAGTGAGGGGGTGACTAGTGACAGAGTGAGGGGTTGACAGGTGACAGAGTGAGGGAAGGAAGGGGTGACTAGTGACAGATTGAGGGAGGGGGTGACACAGTGACAGAGTGAAGGAGGTGGTGACAGAGTGAAGGAGGTGGTGACTGTCACTAGTCACCCCATCCCTCCCTCTGTCACTAATCACCACCTCCCTCTCTCTGTCACTAGTCACCCCCTCCCCCTCTCTGTCACTAGTCACCCCCTCCCCCTCTCTGTCACTAGTCACCCCCTCCCCCTCTCTGTCACTAGAGTGAGGGGATGACTAGTGACAGAGTGAGGGAAGGGGTGACTAGTGGCAGAGTGAGGGAAGGAAGGGGTGACTAGTGACAGAGTGAGGGGATGACTGGTGACAGAGAGGGAGGTGGTGACTGTCACTAGTCACCCCATCCCTCCCTCTGTCACTAGTCACCCCCTCCCTCTGTCATTGTGTCACCCCATTCCTCCCTCTGTCATTGTGTCACCCCATTCCTCCCTCTGTCACTGTGTCACCCCATTCCTCCCTCTGTCACTGTGTCACCCCATCCCTTCCTCTGTCACTGGTCATCCCCTCCATCACTCTGTCACTAGTCACCCACTCACTCTAGTGACAGAGTGAGGGAGGGAAGGGGTGACAGAGTGAGTGAGGGAAGGGGTGACTAGTGAAGGAGTGAGGGAGGGGGTTACTAGTTACACAGTGGGGGGGTGACTAGTGACAGAGTGAGGGGGGTGACTAGTGACAGAGTGAGGGAGGGGGCTACTAGTGACAGTGGGGGGGTGACTAGTGACACAGTGAAGGGGGTGACTAGTGACACAGTGAAGGGGGTGACTAGTGACAGTGAGGGAAGGTGACTAGTGACAGTGAGGGGGGTGATTAGTGACAGTGAGGGGGGGAGGGGTGACTAAAGCCTACCTTTCTCTCTGCTCCTTGTGGTCTCCCTGGCTGCAGCTCCTTCCCCTCGCTGGGCTGTGTGAGAGGCATAAACAGGAAGTGATGTCACTTCCTGTCCCCGCCTCTCCCATCACACAGAGCACCGCGCGGGACTGGGAGAAGGAGACCTGGCAGAGAGGGAGAGGAGGTGAAGCTGCCAGGTCTCATGGGAGGAGGTGGATTTAAAGAGCGGTAGGTTGTGGGGCCCCGCGCTGCATCAGGGGCCCCACAACCTATCAATTAAATAGTTTTATTTAATTTAATTTTTTTGTTCCAGTTGGAGAGATCTCTGATCTCTCCAGCTGGAGCATGGCTGTGCTGCCGGGCCCCTGACTGCCTCGGGCCCTCGGTCCATGACCGAAGTGCCCGAGTGGTCAGTCCGCCCCTGGATCTAGTTAATCTGCACTTACTGTCTCCCCCTTCCTTTCAGCCTCCATCTCTGTCCGTTATGCCACATTGTTTATAAAATAGCAGACTTACTTGTTTATTCATTATTTTCAGTGATTTTCCATCACCTTACTGGACTGGATGCTCAGCCCTCGTTGCCATATCGTTATCCTGATTTCTACATTTGTTATATCAGTGGGGGCTTTGGTGTCAGAGCAGGCTTTGTCTAAGGGGTGCCCACGAAGGCACACTAGATTCTTACCGGTGTAGGATCTAGTTAATCTGCACCTCCCTTTCTCTCAGCCTGAATCTCTATTTTATGTATCACTGTGCCCACATAATAGCATACTTACTTGCTTATCCATAATTTTCAGAGATTCACTGTTGCCTTGCTAAATAGTATCTATCATTAGATACTAATAGGACTAAACATCCTGCTTTATTTTATTCATTCACTATTATTTTCTTTATTGTATATTATCTAATAACATTAAAAGTTAAAGGGACGCTATAGTCACCTGAACAACTTTAGCTTAATGAAGCAGTTTTGGTGTATAGAACATGCCCCTGCAGCCTCACTGCTCAATCCTCTGCCATTTAGGAGTTAAATCCCTTTGTTTATGAACCCTAGTCACACCTCCCTGCATGTAACTTGCACAGCCATCCATAAACACTCCCTGTAAAGAGAGCCCTATTTAGGCTTTCTTTATTGCAAGTTCTGTTTAATTACGATTTTCTTATCCCCTGCTAAGTTAATAGCTTGCTAGCCCCTGCAAGAGCCTCCTGTATGTGATTAAAGTTCAATTTAGAGATTGAGATACAATTATTTAAGGTAAATTACATCTGTTTGAAAGTGAAACCAGTTTTTGTTTTTTCATGCAGACTCTGTCAGTCATAGCCAGGGGAGGTGTGGCTAGGGCTGCATAAACAGAAACAAAGTGATTTAACTCCTAAATGATGGTGAATTGAGCAGTGAAATTGCAGGGGAATGATCTATACACTAAAACTGCTTTATTTAGCTAAAGTAGTTTAGGTGACTATAGTGTTCCTTTAAGTTTTAACTTTATAATTAATCACAATTACTTTCTTAAACAGAGATAAGTTTTTACCCTGGCATAAATTGTAATATCTTATCCTATTAACCCCTTCAGGACGGGTGACGGACGAGGTCCGTCACACAGGGGAGACCCTTAACGACGGGTGACGGACCTCGTCCGTCACGCGGTAAAATTAACCCCGGATCGCCGCTATCGCGGCGATCGCGGGGTTAATGGTGCTCCCGGTATGCCTCTGCATTGGAGGCATACCGGGAGCACCCGGTCAAGCTGCCCAGCACATGTGCTCGCTCTGACCACAAGTCGGAGCGAGCACATGTCCTCTGTATACTTACCTACCGGCTCCCTGCACTTCCGGGTTCTGTGTGAAGTGCAGGGAGCCGGATCAGTGCTGATCCTGCCCCCTGCTGTTAAAAAAAATAAAGTTTATTTAAAGTGTCCCCCCCCTTACCCATTTTAATAAAAAATTAACCCATTCCCTGCCAATTGATCACTGACTACAGTGATCAATTGGCAGGGATTACATTTTACTATGATCTGATTTTTTTTTTTAACCCCTGAGGGTTAATCTTTTTTTTTTTTTAACCCTCAGGGGTTAAATTAATTAAATTAATTAATTAAATTATTTTTAAATTATATATTTAGATAGCTGGGGTGGGTGGAAGTTAGTGGGGAATTGGGGGATTTGGCGTTAGGCTAACTAGGGGTTAACGTTAAAAAAAAGTTTTAAAAGAAACTTTAAAAAGTAAAAAATTAAGCTTAAAAAAAATGTTTTAATAACATTTAAGTAATAAAAACAAAAAAACACACTTTACCTAGTCCAAATAAAAATTAACCCCTTCCCTGCCAGTCGATCACTGCCTACAGCGATCAAATAGAGATCACAGTATTATACTGTGATCTAATTTTTTTAACCCCTGAGGATTAACTTTTATTTATTTTTTTAACCCTCAGGGGTTCAATTTATTTAATTAATTTAAATATTTTATAACTATATATTTTGGTAGCTGGGGTGGGTGGGAGTTATGGGAAAATGGGGAATTTACTGTTAGTGCTGCGTACTGCTAGTTAGGGGTTAACAGTAAAAAAATAGCTTAGAAAAATGTTAAATCTGTAAAAAAGTTTTAAGAAAGTTTAGGAAAGTTTAAAAAAAATTTATAAGCAAAACAAAAGTTTAAAAACTAGTTTTTAAAAGTAAAAAGTTATAAAAAGTAAAAAAATACATTTTAAAAACGCTCATTACCACTACACCTGGAGCAAACTAGAGAAAAAATTATCCCACGCCAAGGTTCAAAATATGCCTTTTGAATTACCCCAGGGTGTATTCTTTAATAAATAGTATGTGTTTGTGGTGAAGTTTCAATAACCAACCGTCTAAACTATTCCAAATTGGAACATGGACACAGCGTAAAACTTCAAAGTTAGAAAAAAACTGAATGGCTGCGTCTCAGATGCTCAACATCCAATATACCTGGCAAAGGTACATATGGTGGTATTGCTGTACTCAAATGACATAGCTGAGCAACAGTTATACAGTTGTGGCACACATAAGGTTTGCAAAATATACTGTGCAAACTCACTTTGTGTGTCAAAAAGGCAGAAAAAACACTTATTACCACTACACTTGGTACAAGCTAGCGGAAAAATGATCCCACACTAAGGTTCAAAATATGCCTTTTGAAATACCCTGGGATGTCTTCTTTAAGAAATGGTATGGCTTTATGGGGAATTTGGATTATATAGCCTGGTAAAATACTCTAAAATGGGACATAGGCACAGCATAAAATTCAAAGTTTGAAAAAAACTGGAATGGCTGTGTCCCAAATGTGCCCCTCCGATGTCCACACATACCTGGCAAAGGTACATACGGGGGTATTGCTGTACTCAGCCGACATAGCTGAGCAACATATGAAGTATTATACAGTCATAGCACACATAAGGTTTGCAAAATATACTGCGCAAACTCACTTTGTATGTCAAAAGGGCAGAAAAAATGCTTATTACCACTACACTTGGTACAAGCTAGCGAAAAAATGATCCCACGCTGAGGTTCAAAATATGCCTTTTTGAAATACCCTGGGATGTCTTCTTTAAGAAATGGTATGGCTTTATGGGGAATTTGGATTATATAGCCTGGTAAAATACTCTAAAATGGGACATAGGCACAGCATAAAATTTCAAAGTTTGAAAAAAACTGGAATGGCTGTGTCCCAAATGTGCCCCTCCGATGTCCACACATACCTGGCAAAGGTACATACGGGGGTATTGCTGTACTCAGCCGACATAGCTGAGCAACATATGAAGTAATATACAGTCGTAGCACACATACGGTTTGCAAAATATACTGTGCAAACTCACTTTGTATGTCAAAAAGGCAGAAAAAACGCTTATTACCACTACATCTGGTACAAGCTAGCGGAAAAATGATCCCACGCTAAGGTTCAAACTATACCTTTTGAAACACCCTGGGGTGTCTACTTTAAGAAATAGTAGGCCTTTGTGGGGTAGATTGAATTTAAAACCTGCGAAGATGCTTGGAAATTGCACATGAAAATTCAAAGTTTGGTAAAAACGGATATGGCTTGGTCTCCTATATGGCACTGTAGCTTCACAAAATAGTGACAAAGACATTCATTGGGGGTGTATTTTTACTCAGAAGACTTAGCTGAGCATAATTTGGGGGGTTTGAACTTAGTGGCACATGTGAAATATACAAAATGCCCAGCAAAAATGCAATCCATGTGTAAAAAACACACTAAATTATTTTTTACCACATACTTGGCATATATTGGTGAAAAAATGGGGGCATGTTAAGGCACAATATGCACCTTATGAGATACCCTGGAGTGTCTACTTTTACAAATGGTAGGCCTTTGTGGGGGGTTTTTGAACAGTCAAACTGTTATAATACCCCAAATGGAAGCCAAGGCTCATTAAATCCATCTCTCAAAATTCTACTGTGAATACTGTAAAGGACAGGTCTCCTATATGGCACTGTAGCTTCACGAAATAGTGCCAAAGACATTCATATGGGGTGTCATTTTACTCAGAAGACTTAGCTGAGCATAATTTGGGTTTGAACTTAGTGGCACATGTGAAATATACAAAATGCCCAGCAAAAAGGCAATCCATATGTAAAAAAATGCACAAAATTATTTTTTACCACATAAT